CAGGTGAAGAACACACCTTAACTTGCACTACAGCTGCCTGCTTTAGTCCTCTGAGAACCAATTTAGAAGTCTAATGCGTGACGGCATTTAGGGGTATAGAGGTTGACTCACCAGGTAATGCATTTTGTGTGAAAAGATGTTTGAACTGTATACAAAGCGATTCAAACATATACAAAGCGGCACTCACAAGGGCGAGACTGAAGTTAATTTTTTGTATTTTCCCCACACATGTAAAATATTCACATTTAAAATACCCCTTACCCTTTCCTTTCCATGAGACTCTACCACTATTTTGAAGGCATTATTTATTTGGTACATAATTAAAATGATTATAGGAAGGAAACAATATGCATTAATTGCCATATTACCATACTGCCAAATTGCCATAGAGCAAAAAAGGTGTTAAAAGGTGAGTAAAAATGCAAACAAGGCTTGTGAGACAAAACTTGGGCAGCACCAGCTTTATGCATTGATGAACTACCTTTTGCGCTGTCAGACCCCTTTAGATGTAAACGGTTTTATTTTAGATCAGGAAACTACCAAATTGGGTGAAGGCGATAAAGTTGGTGCTAGCAAACTGTGCATAATGCTACCCACAAGTGCATTTTCATTTGCAAAGGCACAAAAATAGAGCCCTATATTTCCATATAGAATTCGCTCCTTCTCAGAATGAACTTGACTCAAGCCTGAAATCAATCAATTTCATCTATCCCTTACTAACTCTCCCCATTGCTCTCCTCGATTGGTAATAATTTTTATTATAGACTGCTTTCACTCCCAAAATTGATTGCATCACACAGAACTGTCCTGAAGTTTTGCACTCAACAACACCATGATAGCGGATAGCAAACACAGTCAAGATCTGTATCATGTGAGTGAAAATCAGCAATAGGCATTAGGATGGTCGCTTAGATTGGTTTGACTTATGATAAATTTGTCTTCTCAGGTGCATTCATGATCCCATTTCTCATTCTGCTGGTGCTTGAGGGCGTTCCACTGCTACACCTGGAGTTTGCCATTGGACAGCGTCTAAGGAAGGGCAGTCTCGGGGTGTGGAAGACTGTCCATCCCTACTTGATGGGAGTGGGTGAGAAACACCTCTCTCACGCAAGTCATATTCAATAGTCTATGCCTGTTGACCAGCACACATTGAATCTCAGTTTTTATTCAAATGCATGCCTGTTTGCCAGGTTTGATTGAACAGGATCTCAGCTACTGACTAGGAGTATGATCGTTTGTCTTCTGTACGATATAACAGCTTCACAGCATTATCTGAAAAGGAAAGCGTATTTGGCAAACACGTTTAGCAAGGTTTTCTCCAACCAGTATTTTGTGATATATGATTTTTAAAAATACTTTTAACAATGTATTACTTATAATTATTATGTCGCACTGACCTTTTGAAGCACTGAAAATGAATTGACCAAAGGATCTATTGTCTGCCTAGATCTATTTTGTCATTTTAATCAGAAATTTTGCAAATTATTTTTAAAAAATAGCTGGGTGAGGTGACTGAGGGGGCTGCACATGACATCAGTAATTTGTCTTTTGCAGGCATTGCGTCCATGCTTGTGTCTTTTATGATCAGCTTGTATTACAACACCATCATTGCCTGGGTCATGTGGTACTTCTTCAACTCCTTTCAAGAGCCACTACCATGGAGCCAGTGTCCTCTCAATGCAAACAAGACAGGTATTCCATTAACTACAGTTTTTCCAAGCCGATTAGGACCTCTACTGATGACACATACAATTACTCCAACAGTTTTTCACGTACAGATTATTTCAATTATAATTCACTATTTCACAATATCAGTTGGGCAGAAGTTTACTCACACTAAGTTGACTGTGTTGATAAACAGCCTTGAAAATTCCCGGAAGTGATACCAAGGCTTTCAAAGCTTCTGATAGGCTGAATTAAATCATTTGAGTCAATTGGAGGTTAACCTGTGGATCTATTTTAAGGCCGACCTTCAAACTAAGCGCCTCTCAGCTTGAGTTAATGGGAAAATCAAAACAAATCAGCCAAGACCTCTGAAAAAACAAGGAGGCCTGCATACCTGACAGTTATATTTGTTCTGTCTGGAGGAATGAGCCAAAATTCCAGCAACTTCTTGTCAGAAGCTTGTGGAAGATTTCCCAAAACATTTTACTCAAGTCAAATCATTTCAAGGCAAGGCTTCTAAATACTAGGTCACTGTATGTAAACTTTTCACCACAGGGGAATGTTATGAAAGAAATATAAGTTGAAATAAATCAGTCTCTCTACTATAATTTTAATTCCGAATTCAATTGTACCAAGTGGAACTCACATGAAAATCAATGATATTTTATGCTGTGTTATGTAGTGGATGCAGGGCCAGCCTAATCCTTCATGGGGCCCAAAGCAGGATTTGATTTGGGGCCGTTACCCACCTCCTCGGCACTGATAATACTATTGATCTTTTTCAATGTTCGATCATTCGCCCACCAACTGTAAGTGCAATGTTTCTCCAGGAGAAGATGCCAAATAACAGAAAATAATTCCTGTTTTACAACCCCATTTCCAAAAATGTTGGGACGCTGCGTTAAATGTAAACAAAACAGAATGTAATGATTTGCAAATCAATTAAAATCCTATATTTAATTGAAAATAGGACAAAGACAACATGTCAAATACTGAAACTGATAAATCTTATTGTTTTTTTTTTTTGAAAAATATCTGCTCATTTTGAATTTGATGGCAGCAACATGTTTTAAAAAAGTAGGGGCAGGGCAATAAAAGACTGGAAAAGTTGCATGATGCTAAAAAAAAGACAACTGGCAGAACATCTCACTGCTAATTAGATTATATAACAACTGGTCAGTAACATGATTGGGTACAAAAAGTCTTTCATAAGTAAATATGGTGAGGGCTTAACCCCTCTATGAGAGACTGCATGGCTCAACAATTAGGAATAATGTTTTCAACGTTGCAAAGAATTTGGAGATTTTATCCTCTATGGCACATTATATCATTACACGATTTAGAGAATCCAGCAAAATTTCTGTATGCACAGGACAAGGCCAAAATCCAGTTTTAAATGGCTGTGATTTTCAGGTCCTCAAGTGGCACTCCATTAAAAACAGATGGGATTGTATGGTAGAAATCACTGCATGGACTCAGGAACACTTCTGTAAACCATTATCAATATACACAGTTTGTCACTGCATCCACAAATGCAAGTTAAAACTCTTCCATGTAGAGATGAAACCATATATGAAAACGATTTAGAAACACTGCCTTCTTCTATGGGCCCGAGCTCATTTAAAATATACTGAGGCGAAGTGGAAAACTGCCCTGCGGTTTGACCAATCAAAATGTTAAATTCTTTTGGAAATCATGTGTAGCATACCAGACCAGCTACGTATTAAATTATGGAATTATCCTTCCCTCATTATGTGCTTTGATTATTTCGGTAAAAGACTAAATAACAATAAGACTAATAATAAAAATAATGAAATGATTATTGAAACAGGTTCTTTTTTCTAATGAGATGATGCGAACCTGTGAACCTATAAGTAGATGACAGGTCAGGGGAGGGATGGGATGGTCTGAGTTACGGGAAGTGCGTAGTGTGGGGTGTGAGTGAGGGGAGCAAATGAGTTGCATGGCGCGAGTTTTTTAAAAATAGCAGAAAGCTGGTGAGTTCACCACTTCTCCCCCACTTCTTTATCCTTTAGAAGTCCGAAGGAAGTACATTTGCCTTCGCCTTGATAAAAACACTGCCTTCTTGGCATAACACTAGTAGATCAGAACTCTCCCGGGCTGGCGATCTTAGTGAGGGGTGGCAGGGACAGGTGGGCCGTTGGAACTTTGTGTTTTAGGGCGTGCCAAACTAGTCCGCCCATGGCCAGAATGATGTCACAATGTTCAAAAATAAATTTTTGGATTACAAACAAGGCATTTTGCACAGTATTGGCTTGATGTGTTCTGTCAGCTATAATGATTATCGGCTCTTGGGTGGACTTTGAACATTGTGATTTTGTTGACGTCTTTCATACTGAATATACACTACCTGTCAAAAGTTTTAGGACACCCCAATTTTTCCAGTTTTTTATTGAAAATTATGCAGTTCCAGTCCAATGAATAGCTTGAAATGGTACAAAGGTAAGTGGTGAACTGCCAGAAGTTTTAAACAAAAGGTAAGGTTACCCAGGTTTTTTGTACGCTGTCGAGTAGGTGAAAGGATGGTTCCTCAGTGTGTGACATCAAGTGTCAAACACAGAGGAGGAAGCGTAATGGTCTGGGGCTGTTTCGCTGGATCCAGGGTCAGTGACTTACAGAGTGAAAGGCACCCTGAACCAAAACGGCTGCCACAGCATTCTGCAGCACCATGCAGTACCCTCTGGTATGCACCTAGTTGGTCAGGGGTTCATCCTACAGCAAGATAATGGCCCAAAATATAAGTCCAAGCTCTGCCAGAACTACCTTAGGAAAAAAGAACAAGATGGTAAGCTAGACAACATGGAGTAGCCAGCGCAGTCTCCAGACTTAAACCCCATTGAGACGGTTTGGGATGAACTGGACAGAAGAGTGAAAGCAAAGCAACCTACTAGTGCCACACATTCATGGGAACTTCTGCAACAGAGTTGGGAAGAACTTTCTGAAGAATATTTGATTTCCATTGTAGAAAGAATGCCACAAGTGTGTTCAGCCATTATATTTGCCAAAGGTGGCTACTTCGAGTCAAAAGCTTAGAATACACTGATTTATAAATTGATTCCATGATTTCTTTTTTAACTTCAATTGTTTATTTGTTCTATCATGTCTATGCTTTTATTCCAGAGTACAATGAGACATTAAACTGCATAATTTTCAATAAAAAACTGGAAAAATTGGGTTGTCCTAAAACTTTTGACCAGTAGTGTATTACTTAATATAATGACCAGCATTAAAAACGCACCACCTTAATTTCATGGCTAAGATGCAAATTATGTATGTTTATGATGTGTAAGTGTTATAAAAGTGTCTGATGCCACGCTGCCGGATAGCTTAATTGGTTAAAGCATTTCACTGCAAAGCAAAAGTGACTATCACGGCGCGGGTTCGAGCCCCGGTCGTACCAACCGGCAGTGGTCGGCAGCTTTTTTCAGAGTAGTGCACAATTGGCCATTGCGCTACAGGGATGCAAATTGGGAAGGGTCTGCCGGGAAGGGTAATATACAAATGATAGCTTTGTTCATTGCTGAAGCGCCTCCTGTTGGCCGGGCAGGCGCTCGTCAGGAAGATTCTAAGCTTGTTCATGTTCGGGTATCCTCCGCCCTCATTCTGAACTTGTGAGGATTCAACCAATGAGTAAATAAGAAGCAGTGGCTGACAGGCGCGTGCTTTGGAGGAGAGCCGCAAACTGTCTTCACTCTCCTGAGTTGGCAGCACGAGGTTGCATATGAGCAAGCTTTGTACATAGTTCCCCAATTGGGCATTCCAAATTCGGGTGGGATTGGAGATGCCAAAAAAAAAAGTGTCGGATGCCCCCAGACAAGAGGTCCTAACGCAAAATTAGGTCTTTGACAGACGCTTATGCCATTGCAGGTCGAAAAATCAAAGATTCAAAGATTTTGTCACCAGGGCAAAGTCCAAGTACATCATTTTGGTTCTCTTCACATGATCTGGTCTTTCTAAATGTTGCAGATAAAAAAACACTCTAAGTCCGTCATTAAACATTGTCATTAGATGGCTAACGAGGTGTGAATATGATGGAAAGGAGTAGGAACATACCCTTAGAAAGTTGCGTTTGTGCATGCGCGTCCCTGATGTCACTAGGTGGCTGCATTGTCATTATTTAGTCACTGGGAAGATTGCCCAAAAGTTTTGGGGGTATTTGTGCCATGTCTGATTGTGCACAGTTTATAAGCTATGAGGTAAATCAAAGAATCAAGGTCAGTCCAAATGAGTCCACCTGATGACACAAGTGTATGATCACAAGGGACCAATAACTCAAACAGCTCGCCAAGGTGATGTTAAAGAGAACCAAGTGTCAGAATTCACAGTCAGAAGTCACCTGTGGGATGTAACAACCTAATTTGAGCCCTTTTTCACCCTACATCACTGTCCACGTCCTCAGCAGCGAGGACAATAAAATCAGATTGATGTTTCTCACAATCAAACTCGACACAGACTAAATGATTTAGATTTAGATTTCTTGCCTCTGAGGTAACCCTTGTTTCCAACCCTATTATGTTTCGGGTCAATTTAACCCAACTCAATGTTCAGTGTCTCTAAAAACATGGTTAACCCTTTATAGGGCACTAAAAAAAAAAACCCTAAGAAGCTGACTGTAAAAAAGTACCGTGCGTTGGGCGTATGTCCATAAATAGTCTTACCATCACTTGCTGTAGACTTAGGTGAAAAGGGCGTATGATCAAATACCTTACCATTAAATATTTTGTTTTTCACGCAAAATTTCACTGATCTCTAGAACTCCTACACAAACAACACCTATCTCAACTTTTAGCAAACTTTTTAATGCATGAGTTTTCATCAGTTTTCTTTCGTGAGTAATGATGTTAGGTCCTTGTGAGTGGGACTGGGTAAGGGCACACAACCGCACTGTGAGAGGTCCGGAGAAGAAAAGAAGTTTGAGACGCTCTAGGCCACTGCTGATTGGTCGAACACCCTGATGTCACTGCCTGTGATATTGCCTGATTTTCTCTGGTCGGCTGGGAGAAATCGCTGCGGGTCTACTGCCTCACGGAGAGGCATGGGGGCGCCACTTTGGATGCCGACTGAAGTTGCCAAATATGGTTCCTTGCCCGATAAAGGGTTAACACTTTTTTTTAGCGAGATTTTTCCCCCTAACTTTAGGGGTAGAATATGAATTTAATTTAAAAAAGAAAATCATGTTCTGTACATATGTTGTAAGAATAGGTGTTATTTGGGTCAAGCATTGACATTATTTGGGTCATTTTTACCCCAGGATCAATTATTACATAAACCTGTGATGGTCGGATTTATGAGACGCCAAATGCTGTGGCCGGAACGAAATGAAGGATGACAAAATAAGAGACAAACACTGACAGAAATCAGAGAGGGAGACTCGCGCCTCCAAAGGACCTAGATCCAGTCCATGAAACAATAAGGAAGCAAAGCGAGTTCGACAGAACGAATTAAAAGGGAAAAAATCTCGGAAACCGAGATAAAAAGAATTAGCACCAGACTGTGCCCAGAAAGAGGAAAAACAGAAAGATTCTTTTGCAGCTAATACCTCAACAACTTTCTCACTAGAGACCTTACCGGCTAAAGTGCAAACAAAACACTGACACTCTAGGCGGAACTTGGGCTTAAATAGAATCCGGGCGATGGGCCCCCAATTAATGCCAGCTGGCCCAAAAATCCGATTGTGGGCAAACCGATATCGTCCCGGACGAGAGCAACATAGAAAGCTCTCAAAGCCACCATCAGCCTCCAAAACCATGACAAAACCATCATTTTGATCTCGTTTTTGTAGTGTTGCCTACAACACTACAAAAACGAGGGGGTATGTTCAAATGAATTTCTCATTCATTTCACATTTGGTCTCATTTGAGGAAGATAGAGGAGCTGTGTTTTATTTACTTGGCTGTTAAAATGGTCAGTAGAAAGACATAAATGAGCTGAGAGGAGATTAGGGAAGACTTTCAGTGACTAACATCTTATGTAGTTTTTCATTGCGGGGATCAAACTGACCTCAAACCAAACATGGTTTATTAATTTGAACATAATAGGAGTGTTAAACAGTTCTACAGTGGGGTCTTTGGTGAAAATGTGCTCAAGCGGGGGTTTAACATGCCACTTTTGCAGCTGTTAGGCGACTTCTGACTGTGGATTTCGACACTCGACCCCTTTGACATCACCTTGGTGAGCCGTTTGAGTCACTAATTAGGTCTGACCATGCACCCATGTTACCCAGATGGACTCAATGTGAATGATCTCAATTCTTTAATTGACACCATGGCTGGCAAACTGTGGACAGTCAGGTACTAGACAGATACCACCAAACTTTTGGTCAATCTTCCCAGTAATGGAATAACAATAATGCTGCCATGTAGCAAGAGCACAGATGCACATGCGCGCTCGCAACATTCTAAGGGTGTGTTTCTACTCATTTTTATTAAATTCTTGCCTCATGAGCCATCTATTGGCGATGCTTATCAACTGACTTAGGGTGGCTTTTGCCTTGCCACCTTTTGAAAGACCAAATTTCGTGACCAGACCCAGAAAGAAATTATTGCATTTCACCCTGGTGACAAAAATCTTGATTTTAGCTTTTTCGGCCTGAAATGGCATTACAACGCGCCAAAGACTTAATTTGGTATTTTGCCATCTGGTTAGGACACTTAATACATTACACATCACAAACATGTATAATTTGTATTTTGGCCATGAAATTAGTGTGGTGCGTCTTTAATGCTGGTCAGTATACAAAATTAAAGGGAAACCACAAAAAAGAGTAACAGGTCCCCATTAAAAATAATTTGATCTTTTAAAGTAACACATCGAAGACCACAAAGTTTAGGTCAAGGGAACCAATGCAAGTTGTTCTAAAATTGACAAACAACCTGTACTGGACATTTATGTAAATTTGGCTTGTGACCTTGACCTCAGTTCTGTTTCTGGAGAATATCACCCAAAATACTTGCAGTGGCCTTTCAAAATTGCTTTTTAGTACCCCACCGCCCAACAGTCCGGTCAGGAGACTATTGATGTAGGTGGAGTCCGTCCATCCATTCATGCATGCATCGGATCGTGCACACCTGCATTTGATATTTTTCACCAGCGTGATTTACATGTCACTGAAGCACTGTAATCATATGTATAATAAGAGTTTTAACTTATATTTGACTCCAGCTATATATGCACAGGTCATGATCCAACCACAAATTTTTATTAATTATGATTCTGCTGTTTATTCCGTGGAAAAATGTGTGACATATCAATACATATGTTGGTACAACAAAAATTTCCTCACCTCTTCTTCAACTGGGCATAGTAACCACATTTTGCTAGTTGAGGGACTGATCATGTGTGCTGTGCATTTTGCAGGTCTGGAGTCAGAATGTGAAAGAAGTTCCCCAGTTGATTATTTTTGGTACCGGGAGACACTCAACACCTCGGAGGCCATCGAGGTGTCAGGTGGTCTGCAGTGGTGGATGGTTCTGTGCCTCGTGTCGGCTTGGGGGGTTCTCTACATCTGCTGTATTCGCGGCATTGAGACCACTGGGAAGGTGACCTTATGAACTCCATATTTATTTACTTGTTCTTCTTTCATTTGTATGGGATATTTCACACTTCTCAGGACACTAGCAACCCCATGGTCCCTTACTGATGGTAGCCTGGTCAATAGATGGCATGGCAAGGACTTTCTCAGAGAGATAAAAATAGCCATTTTTCAGCATCACCCAATAAGGGAAGATTTCAGCAAACAGGCCATTGGAACAGAGACCCTTTTGGTCACAATGAGATATGCATTGTAACAGGAGACCAGGTCTTGGGCAGCTCAACAGATGAATGCAAGGTGATGAGTGTCAGTTGCTTAAAAAAACCAATTCATATGATTGGCATCTTGTGTTGCTGATATTGGGGAGACTCACAGTTGTAATTGGACCTTGTAAATTTGGGAATGAAGGCCAATAAAAATTGATACAATTTTTTGAAAAGAAAAAAATAAAAAATAAATGCAAAAATGTTAATGCTTATAAGCTTACAGTTTGTTTCTTAAAGCATCACTCAATTTCTGGTTATTTGACAGGCTGTGTACATAACCTCCACACTTCCATATGTGGTCCTTACGATTTTCCTGATTCGAGGATTGACTCTGAAAGGGTCTTTGAATGGAATAAAGTTCCTTTTCACCCCAGATGTGAGTATTGCTTTTAAAATTGATGAATTATTTTACTATGTGATGCAAACCTATATTTGCTGATTTGGAGCTTTAATGTTAATTAAATATTCTGTATTAATATAATGTATTACTCCACTCCATCACATGTGGATAAATGATTGCATTTACAGATTCATAACTAACTTTCCTAACAATTACTCCACAACCATGTTTAAAGTAATATTTGAGTTTTTAATACCAATATT